TGAGGTCAAATAAGTTCCCGCTTGCGTGTCCTCCCCTTGAACTTGAGGCCATTGTATCATGTGGGATGTGAATAGACTGCCGTCTCGTTGGCATTTCCATATGTAAGTCGAAAACATTGGCAGATGAATGTCTACCCCTTGAAGTAGAAGAGATGTTGCCATATGGATTATTGGTGAAGCCACGTTGGTTGAGATCATAAGCAGTTACAGATGAATGCCTTCCTATTGAACTTGATGGCATAGCATCTGGCGTTGGATCCGCCATTAATGATGTGAAATCATTAATGATGTGAAATCATTACAGATCAGTTGTGTCGGGCTATTAACTTGATCAGCTTGATATGCAATGCCAAAGTGAGAGGAATATGAGAGGCCACAAGAAGCACGAACCTCAATAAAAGTGGCATACATTTCAATAAGAGATTGTGAACTCCCCATATGAGCATCAACCATCATAGAAACATCATCATCGTTTGAAAGCTAAAATGATGTATACGTGAGCGGAAAAAATTCAGTAGAAAATCTGTACTGAAGTGAAGATAGTCTTCTCCGGCCTGCTACACGAATCTTTAACGAAATTTTTATGATTAACTCCTCAATTGTGATGTTTCTCTTCAAGGTTAAGGGAATATAATGATCTGACTCAAAAATAACCCCCTCTTCAGCTTCCTTAATTTCTCTATCATACAAAACAACAGCAGAAAGACGACTCATTTTTAGAGAATTTGAGAATTTAGAGTTTGAGAATTTGAGAATTTGAAAGCTTGTGAACTGAAGTTTGTTTTGAAAGTTTATAATACGTTGCATATAATAGTGTCTATAATCGGGATACTATTCACATGAAGGCACGTTCCCGGGGGTGCGCCTTCCATTATTTTGTCAAAGAATATGTTATCATTGCCCTATTATGTCACTCATGTCCCTCGAGAACACTATTCATATCAGTACCTATTATTTCTCAGGGGACTTGAAGGCGCTTTCCCGGGGGCGCGCCTTCAATTATTTTGTCAGAGAATATATTATCATTGCCCTATTATGTCACTCATGTCCCTCGGGGACACTATTCATATCAGTACCTATTATTTCTCAGGGGACTTGAAGGCGCGTTCCCGGGGGCGCGCCTTCCATTATTTTGTCAGAGAATATGTTATCATTGTCCTATTATGTCACTCATGTCCCTCGGGGATACTATTCATATCAGTACCTATTATTTCTCAGGGGACTTGAAGGCGCGTTCCCGGGGGCGTGCCTTCCATTATTTTGTCAGAGAATATGTTATCATTACCCTATTATGTCACTCATGTCCCTCGGGGACACTATTCATATCAGTACCTATTATTTCTCAGGGGACTTGAAGGCGCGTTCTCGGGGGGGCGCCTTCCATTATTTTGTCAGAGAATATGTTATCATTGCCCTATTATGTCACTCATGTCCCTCGGGGACACTAGATGGATTGTGAAATCAGTTAAATTATAACCAAAATTTAACTTCTTTTGAAAGTTCAGCAAGTTAAGAATAAATTATACATATAGATCAATTTAAGTTCATAACTTAAATTAAAACGTTATGTGAAGTTTGAATAAATTAGATAAAATGTTATGAATAAATTGAATAAATGTGAAGTGATAAGTTGATTGTGACATTGAAATTGTATGGAATGAGCATCGAGATGTTTTTACGAATAAATGTGAAGTGATAAGTTGATTTTAATGTATACATTTTAATATATATGTTAATGATAAAATCATATGTATGGATAAATTTAATTTCAATTTAAGTATTGTGAACTATAATTGGAATATAACTTTTAATTTCGAATACAATTGGAATATTAAGTTGAAATTTAATGTTAAATTTCGAATACTATAATTTATATTTTAATTTTAAATTTCGAATAGTATAATTTGTATTTTAAAAACATTTATCAAACATTTAATGTTAAATGTGAATAAAAAATAACATTAAAAATATGTATGTAACAACCATGAAACATTTAAATAACATAACCAAATTACATAAAATTCTGAAATATAACTATTTAAATAACATTAAAATACAACTGGATCACCGATGTCGTCTTCTCGAATGAGTTCCAAATGGCGGTGGTTGTCTATTTCGTGGAGGATTTCTTCGTGGAACTTGTTCTTCAGTCTCCTCATCTTCACTATTATCATCATCAGCATTTTCTTCATTTGGTGTAGATGACGCTGAAGGGGCTGAAGGGCTTATATAAAATAACGACCCTGGACGAGTGCTAGTAACAATCCCACCGCTCCCCGGGATCTATGAAAACTATGGAAACATTGGCATCGATGTCTGCGATCCAGATGGAGATTGAGGTGTCTGCGGAGAAGCACCACCAGCCAAATAAGATGCATATGAACCATATGCTGGATCATTAAACATAGTCGTATATGCACCTCCATATGGTATAAAACCCTGCGAGCTAGGCATGTAACCTGGCGGGCTAGGAATGTAACCCTGCGAGCTCGGAATGTAACCTGGCGGGCTAGGAATGTAACCCTGCAGGCTCAGAATGTAACCCTGCGGAGATGGCATATGAACTGGTGGGCTTGGCATATGAAGTGGAGGGCTGGGCATGTACCCCTACGGCATCGGCAGATAAGGATGTTGTGGTGGGATTGATGCATAACCGGTAGCGCCTTCTCTCCGTCCACGCTTCGAGGGATTATGATATTAAGACGGTTGACGTCTTTCTCGTCGCCTAGGAATGCTAACCCCTCGTGCTTCCACCGAAAGTAGAAACGGCTTCCCATTTTCATTAAACCAGTCCATATAGTTATCCGTAACCATATGACCAGTTTCAGCGTAATATTGTCAATGGGCCAACAGTGCATATTGGTTCTCCCAAAGCGCAATCCAATCTCTGTGTCTCACCACCAGTTAACCTCTTTCTTTCATCGTCTATCTATGTTATTCACGTCGTCTAAATTCCTAGGTGCTCTAGGAATATATTGCGTACAACCATACTGACGGAGCACGCGATCAGCTGGATGCCACTCAATAATAGCATAACATATAAGAGGTATAACCGACATCCATACCTCTAATGACCCACTAAGGTGGGGTGGAATGCAAGCCTTCACTTCATCGCTCGCATAAGGTATCCACTGAAACTGAAATATAAATATACAATTCAAATAAATAAAATATTCTAATTATATCTAGCATTTTAAATTAAAATATTAATATTTAAACAGATTTAAAAACATACCTCAGACCCAGCTTTCGAATCAATAAGTAAACGAATTTCCTCTAACCCAATAGGTATACTTTTATGGTTCTTTCTTTTCATCGACCACCTATGAAATATAATATAAACTAAATATCACCCTATTTAATTAAAAATATTTAAATCAAAATTTAGTTCAAAAATTACCTCAACAATAAGGGGAATACGTATGGTTCATTCACGATCGGGCATAAGAAAGGCATGCGGAACCACACCCATGATTGTAGAAGCATGAGAAATCCACAGATAGCAGTTTTATTATAATTCGTCACCCGACACATTTCTCTAAAGAGAAATGCCAAAACTGCAGCGCCCCAACTATATCTTCCAGCTTCATCAAAATCGATCATATGCCACAACCACATACAATGCACCTGGTTGCGATATTTGTCGGGCATCAATATTCCTCCAATTATTCGTAGAATATATGCCCGAGCACATGCCTTTGCTTGATCCTCTGAAGCTTTTTCATTTAAAACCTCAAAATTAGCTTTCAACCAAGATAAAGCTATTCTACCTCCATTAAACTCTGGCGGAGCAGCTCCAAGATAATCAATGCACATTGACTGCCAATCACCATCCGCCATACCACACATCATATTTCCGTCGACGGGAAGCCCAGATGCATAGAGACATCCTCCAATGTAATTGTAACCTCTCCACATGAAAGGTGAAAAGTGTGTGTCTCGGGCCTCCACCTCTCAATCAGTGCAGAAATTATGACAGGTTCGAGTTTGCAACCGCCAATAATTTTTGCAATATACCCGAACCTGGCAGAAGCCAAATATGGCAAAATACGTTTCGGTGTCGGTATACGTGGATTTTTAATAAAAGTCTCTAAAATACGATCAGTATCCTAAATAACATTATAAAAAATTAAAATTAATATAAATTTATAATAACTTTAAATTAAAAATAAATTTAAATATTAACATTAATTATAAAAAATATTACCATATCGCTAAAATGTCTGGAGATATGATCAACATCCAATCGCAGCAGCATTTCGTTTTCTATTATAATTGTAGACAAAACAATATAATTAGCACAAAAAACATAATTAATAATTCTAAATAAATAATAATTATATAAATATTATTTAATAAAAAAATAATATTTATATAATTATATTAATATAAAATATAATAACTATTTAAAAAAATACTAACATAAAAATAAATTTCTTACCACTAATAAAAAATTTAAAACTCAAATAGTTGGAGAGTTTGAGTTATATAAGAGAGGAGAATATGATTTTGGTATGAAGAATGAGGGAGGGTTGAGGAGGTTTATATAGGGGAGGAGGAGGGGGTAGTTAGGGGAAAACGGATGGGGGCATTTAATTGAAGGCAAGTCCCAGGGATGCGCCTTCCACACGTGGCAGTCGAGTCATCAGAATCCCGTGAAGGCACGTCCCCGGGGATGCGCCTTCCACACTTGGCATCCAACTCAGCGAAAATCCGGGTAAAGCGCGTCCCCGGGGATACGCCTTTCGTCAGCTCAACCGAAAAAATGCTATTTCGGGAAATATATATCAAACGGTGCTAAAAAGATAAATATTCAGTTAAACAGTGTTTTGATCAAATAGCCTTGTTTTTGTTAATTATTTCGTTACACTGTCATCTAATTGAAACTCAAAATGTCAAAAATCAACTAATCTTGTCCTTATTGTCGCGTCCTATCACATAGCCTCTACCGCTAAGATTCACTTCCAAGTAATGTTGTTGAAGTTAAACTGACTGTGCACGCAGATCTTATCACTTCTCTCGCTCTCGCTCTCTCTTTTCTTTTTAGTTTTTGTTTGGCAAAGACTGTAGCGCCGTACGATGGCCTTCTCTCGGCGGCGCAAACACCATCTCCATCTCCACCGCCTCCGGTCTCTGTTTCAGGTTTTATCCGTCGTCTCCGGTGCTCTTCTAATCCTCTTTGCCATCCTTTTCTTTCTCTCTTCTCCTGACGAATCGAAACACTTTCACCTTCGACGCCACCAAACCTATGTATTTGCTCTCTCCCTAGCTATGTTTTTTTTTTAATTCTCTTTTGAGTTTATGTGTGATTATGTGTATGTATATTTAAATCTCTTTTCCCTCTTCTAGGTTAATGAAGTCGTCCAGGATCCAGTAACAAATGGAGGTTCTGTTTTCAGTATTCCGGTTAGGGCTTGTTCTTTACTTATATTCTTATTTGCAGTTTTAGCATGATTATGTGTTTTGGTTTAGGTTTCACCGGATCCTTAACATCGGTTAATTTGCTATATTGCTTTTTGAAAATCAGAGTAGCGGAGGAAAATTAGATCGTGATATATGGAGTTCGAGAAATGCTAAATTCTTTTATGGATGCAGTAATGCCAGCGCCAAATTTACGAGTTCGTATAATCATTTCCCCCCCTCCAATTTCGCTAGTTGGCTGTACATTTTTACTAATAAAATAATATACACATTTTATTTATAACGCGTAAGGTTTTATGAAAATGGATTTGGGAAACATCAAATACAATGATAAGATGAAAGAATTGAGAGGATTTAGGGTTTTTAAATTGCTTTGGACAAATTTGAAATTGCATAAAAACCCAAAGCATTAGAAACACGTTAACTCGTTGATTGTATTACAGAAGCTGAAGCCATTACGCATCCCACTCGATACCTGGCTATAGCCACAAGTGGAGGTTTGAACCAACAAAGAACTGGAGTAAGTGTGGTGGCTACTTTCCAATACAGTTCTTTTATTTCCTGGTGTCTTGTAGAATTTTCCAGTCTTGTTTGATGTCATAAATCATTGTTTTCACGAGAAGCTGCAAATCTGCAATTTGAGATTTCTGCTGATCGCTGCTAAATGTATAGATTTAACAGTTATACATTGGTAGAACTCAAAGATACATTATCTTGATTATTAGTCAGTCTGGAGTTGTGTACTATTCTATTTGAATTGTAACTGAACATATAAAATGGATTGAAACTATACAATGAAGTGGCTGCTTGACTGATTGGCCCCAATCTACAACTTATATTGTTCAAACAGAACTTTTTCTGCCACAAACAGAAAATAATTAATGGGTTGAGTGTCAACTGAAAGCTTTGGAAAAGAACAGGCATGCTTTCTATTAGTATTTACAGTCCATGTCTCGAGATCACAATTACATGAATACTTTATTTTATCCCTCAATGCTTTTTTGTAGTTGAGCTTACTATCAATGCATGTTGCAGATTACAGATGCGGTTGTTGCTGCTCGAATTCTGAATGCTACTCTTGTTGTTCCAATGCTGGACCAAAAATCATTTTGGAAGGATGCAAGGTTTGTAATAGAATGAATGATGTTCAACATTTAAGTTTGAAATTGTAACTTTGATTAACCGTCTTATCTAAATAGATAAAATCTGGATGAATTGAGCTGTTAAGCTGTTATGTGACAGTTTCTACTTTTTCATGTCCAGTAACTTCACAGATATCTTTGATGGTGATTGGTTCATATCATTTTTGTCAAAAGATGTTAAAATCATAAAGCAGCTGCCTAAAAGGGGAGGGAGGACTTGGACTCCATACACCATGCGTGTTCCACGGAAATGTAGTGAAAGATGTTATGTAAATCGTGTATTGCCGGTTCTTTTGAAAAGGCATGTAAGTTCCTTATTCTCAAAATTTTCAGTCAATATCATATATTTAGCCTCTAACTGGTCACAGAATACTTTTGTATTGCTTGTGCTTTTATTGTGTTTGTAGTAGCTGCCCTGGCTTTTTCTATCTCATTCTTTTCCTCGTAGATAAAAATAAATGTCAAATATGTTGCTTATGCATGCTCATGGTACCACTTTCCTGGATCTGGATAGCATTTTGACATGTTATTTAGTCACTACTTATTTCAATATGTCAATGTTCCAACATAGTTGTTTCTGTTTTCACCAGTCAATACCATGATTATTACAATCTCTGATCTATTGTACACGCTGGTCTGGTTTTGTGTGGTTTAATTTCTAGCTTTACTTACTAAGCTTCTCTACAAATTAAACATAAAAATCTGTTCATTGGAGCCTTTAGAATCTTAAAGTGTCACTCTTTTCTACTTTTGATATTACCATATTGTACATAAATTGCTTCTTTCCTACATAACTTTTGTATTTCATCATTGTCATAAGTTATGCATCTTCTTTAAAATGGTTTTCCAACATCATTGAAGCTTCTGCTATTTAAACCAGAGGCTTAAGGTTCTCATGTTTAAAATGTTCTTTATCATTAGTTGATGTTTTTGAATGAAACTGAGACCTAGCTATGAGATTATGAAATGCTATGAACTATTTGAGCCACAATCACTCATGAGAATTGTAAAAAAAAATTGATATATGATTTTGACCTCTTCATACATCACCGATGCCCATATTTGGTGTATCCCTTTTGATTTGACCCATATAATGCACAAGTGTGGAATATGTATAGGGACCCTAGTAGGTAGCATCCTTAATGGTAGTCTGATTCAATTTTGATTTCAATGTTTGAAAAATATATGCACTTTTATGTATATAATATGTCCATGAAACAATTATACCTGAATGTGCATATCTTGCATTTGAGCTGAAGTTGATTGTGTTTGTTCCAGCCCATTGAGCTTTTGTATCAATCAAATAACCAGGCCACTAACCTATACTCTTGTATTTAAAACTGTCATATATCTGATGGTTTAACTAATGGCACATCTTGTTATCATGTGAAGAATGCAGTTCAGCTCAACAAGTTTGATTACAGACTTGCAAATAAACTGGATACAGATTTGCAGAAGTTAAGATGCAGAGTTAACTACCATGCTCTTAAATTTGCTCACCCTATTCTAGAAATGGGTAAAATGCTAGTTCAGAGAATGCGGATGAGGAGCAAGAATTATATTGCTTTGCACTTAAGGCATGTATCAGTACCTTTCACCCTGTATAACTATCATGCTATGCTTACAGTTGTGAGCTCCATGCCACCTAGACTATATATCTTGACTCCTTGAGGTTCAAAACTGCACGACTTTCATGCATGATACTGATATAAGAAATTATTTGCTAAGTATACATATCCCTCCAAGTTCTTTACTCTTGGTATATGGAAGCATGACCATTTGAGTGAAAGATCAAATTTCAGTTGTTTCAATGAAATGTCTTTCTGTCTAATGTTTTCAGAGATAGACCATCAACCAAATTCACATGATAGATATGCACATATATTGCACTGAATCAATGCATCACTCTTTTGATGCAATGGCTTTTCCATTCAATGATAAAGGACAGATTTGAGATTATTGATGTAGCCAAAAAAAATTGTGACAGGTTTGAGCCTGATATGCTTGCATTCTCGAGCTGTGATTATGGTGGAGGTGAAAAGGAAAGGAATGAATTAGGTGCTATAAGGAAGAGGTGGAAGACTTTACACGTAAGGCTTAAGTTTCATACTCTAATAATTGTATGCATCCTCACTCTTATTTTTTTACTGGCCAATAATTTGGAACTTGGAAAGTAAATTCCTTTGTTTCCGTTGTTACGGTCACCCAACACTAATTCAGTTTAAAAAAATATCATTGTCTATTCCATGAGGCGGAAACATCCTAAAATGTTCAGGTACAGACGAGTGAAGATTTTATAAAGAGCGGGAGAGGCTAAAAGCATTGCATATAAAATCTTGAAGTGACTGCTATAGTGGGAAAAGAAGCTATTGTCCTTTTAAATTCTCCAATTGTATTAATTTTACTCCCATCACTCTGGCCCAACCTCAGATCTAATCCATATGTTGTATGGTGTCTGTTTACTGGTTTGCAGAAAAACAATCCGGATAAGGAACGGAGGCAAGGAAGATGCCCACTTACCCCAGAGGAAGTTGGTCTGATGCTTAGAGCTCTAGGATATGGAAGTGATGTTCATATCTATGTGGCATCTGGTGAAGTTTATGGAGGGGAGGAAAGTTTGAGACCTCTGAAAGAACTCTTCCCAAACTTCCATTCAAAAGATACCATTGCCACAAGGAAAGAATTAGGGCCGTTTTCTTCATTCTCTTCTAGAATGGCTGCACTTGACTTCATTGTTTGTGACGAGAGTGATGTGTTTGTCACCAACAACAATGGTAACATGGCTAGAATACTAGCTGGAAGAAGGTAAAACCGTCCTGCTTTGAATCCTTCCACTACATTACACTATAACTGCTGGCTAACTTTTTCCATTGTGTTATGGCAGGAAATATTTTGGACATAAACCTACTATTCGTCCAAATGCTAAAAAACTATATCGCGTGTTCTTAGGTAGGAAAAACATGACATGGGAGGAATTTGCCTCAAGAATTCGTACTTTGCAGAGAGGTTTTATGGGGGAGCCAATGGAGGTCAGGGCAGGAAGGGGTGAGTTTCATGAGAATCCATCCACCTGTATATGTGAAGATTCAGAGGCAAGGGAGAAGTTAAAGGCAGATTCAAAACACAAGAAACATAGGAAACTGGATGATTTGTCAAAAAAAGATGTTATGGCCATTGATGATCAGAATGGTTATGATGAAAACGATGTGCCAGAATGGCCTGATCTGGAGGATGAGGAAGAGGATCAAAGTGGGCCCCAAGAGAAGCTCCTTTATAACGCGACAGGTTCGGATTATGATGCATTCAGCTCTGATGAACCCGAGTTGGAAGTGATGCTTTCAGACTGAATAGAATGAGCTACAAATTGGTTCTTGAAGTTCCTTCTCGCTTCTTCGGTTATACGAGACATATTCATAGTTTTGTTGACGGAAATCCAAAATGCCCCCGTCTATTAATTCCCCTGGATTTCTCAGCATTTGTTTTCTGGTTTGAGTTTTTTTATTTCCGGAATCAGTTAACTTACGAAGAGAAAAATGGACGGAAGGTCAAATATGCAACTTTGTACTCTATTTAGATGATGTTCCAGAATATGGTACAAAAGTATTAGCATGGAATAGGGGAAATGCCGCTTGCTGTGGCGTTTGTTTAATCAAATCATTGAAAGATAAGGTAGAAATATAAAATACGGGCATGGTTCAAAAGATTTTTCCCGTTACTTTTGGTTTTCTGAGAGATCATTCTTATTCATATAGTTTCTTTTTGTGAATTAGCAAAGTTGATGTAAATTTAATCATTCACTTCGGTAATCCAACTGAGCTTATTCATTCACGCATGAAAAAAAGTTAGGGGAGTTCTGCAGTGTCGCTACAAAAGTTTAAGGGTCTTAGACATTTTTATTATAACAAAATAAGTTAATAATTGAAATTGTTATATATATATAATAAATACGGTTGTGTTCAAGAATGTCATGATACACTTATAAAATAGGTTAGGATATGGAATGTTAATATTTTTATTAAGAAAATGAGTTGTGCCTAAAATGTTATAAAAATTTAAGCTTATGGAACTTTATATTTTCTCATGATAGTAAAATGAGTTAAAAGCTGAAAATATTATTAGTATCTATAATAAATACGGTTGCCCCCAAGAATGTCAATGTTCACAAAGAAAGTAGAAAGTAGGTTGTGGTCTGGAACATTAATATTTTATTAATAAAATAGGTTGCGCCTAATATGTTACCAGATTTTAAGTTGATCCACGATAACAAAATAAGTTAAAACCTAAAACTTTTATGAATATCTATAATAAATACGCTTGAGCCCAAGAATGTCATGGTTCACTAAGAAATTAAGTTACAATCTGGAACATTAATATTTTATTAATAAAATGAGTTACGCCTAAAATATTACTTTAGCTTTAAACAAAATATGTTAAAAGCTAAAATTGTTATGAATATTGTCGAAACATCTTTAAGGCTGGGAGGTGGATCCCACTTTAAATTTCCGTTTCAAATATGTATTTAAATATGGTTTGAGGGAGTCACCATCGATATTTTCGAATTAAGTAGATTAGACACCTAAATTTTGCCCATTTACAAGATCTACATCTTACAAGAGAATTGTCGAATTCGAGAGTCAATTATGTGTGGAGAAGGATTAGCCCCCACAATCCCCTTTCAGTACCTTGTCAATTTTGGTGGTCATGAAAAATAAATTCAAATGATTAATTTAATTTGAGATCCTTAAAAAAATAAATTTTACCTAAAAAATAAAATTAGTTAATAGAATAAATGAAAATATATTATAACATAAATATAAGGTATTAAATTGGTAATAAAACTCAAATAGATAAAAAGGAATCGAAAGGAAACATAAATGTTAAATAGGAGAAAATTAATTTAAAATAAAGAGAAATAAAATCATGTTAAGCTATATATATATACAAGGAAAGTCATACCCAATTATACACAATTCACTCAAAAGATTAATGAGAATTAAATTACATTTTTAAACAAGGAAAATGTCGTGAATCAAGCAAAATTAGAACAATTAGTTATAAATGAAAATTACGGTAGATTAAATTAAATTAAGTTAAATTAATATCAAATAATGGAATGAGTAAGCATTGAAATAGGTCAAATAAATTAAATTAAATTTCAAAATATACTAACTTAGAAAAAAAAGCATGGTCTTGATAAGGTGATTTTACCGAAATATCACTTGTACAAGTAATAATTACCTGTCATACACCATTTCTTCTAATATTATCGATAGTACCCTTTTTGACAAGGAGCGGGTCGTCATCTGCGCCTTTGCGGGGTTCTGTCTGAGTTAGCGCCACGTCATGAAAGGTGCGGATAGCGATCCACACCTTATTCGAGTTGGTGCCACGTCAAGTCAGGCGCAGATCGTCATTCGTGCCTTCCAGGGGTTTCTGACACGCGTACGTAAGGTACAAATAATAATCTGCACCTTCCATTATTGGTACCACCCAAGCAGCTCGGCCTTTAAACCTTTCCCCTCCCTTATAAATATGACACCCTCTATGCAAACATCACCACATCAAAATTACTTCTTATTTTTGCTTTATCAATTCCTTATATTTTTGTTGTAAAGTAAAACTATTTTTTATTATATTATATTTATTTTATATATGATTATTTGAAAAAATTTATTATACTAATTATTTTGTATTATTTTTTACAGTTGTAAAATAGGAAAGTAAGATCATATTTCGAGACATTTTTTGTCGATACGGTAACAATATAAAATTATATTATTCAAATTATTGTGAAAATTTTTAATTTTTTTTTGATTAGTTTATATTTTAATTCATATACTATTTATTTAATTAGATGTATTTCAACTATTGTTTTTGTAGGTATAAGACTCTCAATCTTTCAAACTCTCAGAATGACGCGTATTTCAGCTATTGTTTACTGTGATGTATAAATTCGGGAAGATGAAACCGGCGTCATTTTCACATCAAATCATTCTAGTAGAATATCCTTCAAGAGAAACATAACTCTTGAGGAGTTGATAACGAAAATTTCAAGGAAGGTTCATGTTGGAAGTACTAGAAGACTGTCTTCACTTCAATACATATTTCCAATCGCAGTATTTCCTTTAACTTATAAAGCGTTCGAATAATCCAATGATGACGATGTTGATATGATGCTTGATTCTCAAAATTAATATTCAGACGCCGATACACAGATGCATGCGAACTTTTTTGAAGTTTGTGTTATTCGAGGTTTGTCATTATGCTCCCACTAAAAGCTGGCTCAACAAGCTAATCAAGTTGACAACCCAATTCAAGTAATGTGTAATGATTTTAAAACATTAATGGGAAATCCACATCATGGTTTCATCCCATCAAGTTTAATGGGGAGAAATTCATCAACAACTTCTTACGATCTGTACCGAGGTGGCTCCACAAACAATCTGTATGTCAACATCGCTTCCAGTTCAAGGGGAATGCATTCATCTGCCAATTTCTTTAACTTGAATATAGAGATGCTTTCGACGTAACAATCTGCGTAGTACCCATTTGACACAATGCCTTTAACTTCCAGAGGAGGCATTCAACTACGAGCTTCTTCGACCTCAATATCGAGATGCCTTCAAGTTCAAAGGGAAGGCATGCAACTACCAGCTTGTTTGACCTAAATGTCAACATCGTAGAGGAACCCCCATCTCCATCAGAAGAACTTCTTCATGAGCCAGGTGTGGATGGTGCTAAGACTGGACTATTCGTTCATCCAGAATCATCGCACTTTAACATGGAATCCGATGATGATGATGTAGATGAAGTTCCCACAAATACGATACACACCGAACCTTCAACACACATGCATGAAGCTGACTATGGTGCAATATACGGGCCAGAATTTGCGGATATGCCTAATGTTGGTGACTACGGATTTAACACATCAGTCAATAATGGTGAGTTATATACATGAATGGAGTTTTCATGCAAAAAAAAAAAACGATGATGGCAATTAAGAATTCCAATATTCACAATTCTTTTCAGTTCAGAGTTGACCGTTCCACCACCGAAAAGTATGTCTGTCACTATGTCCAATGTGATAATGGATGAAATTGGATGGTTCGCATATCGAAGTGAAAGAGGAAAAATAATATATGGGAAGTAACGGTATACAACGATCTTCACACATGTTGTGTTGGAGGGATCAACCAAGATCATCCCAACTTGGACTCTGACACTATCTTCCAAGTCAACATGCCCATGGTAAAAGCAAGCTCCCATATAGCTATTGCAGTACTGATTTCAGCTATACAATTGCAGTATCGATATACATTCTCATACAAGAAAGAATGGAAGGCAAAGCAAAATGCCATTAAAAAACTTCATGGCGAATGTGATGCATCTTACAACGAGCTACCAAGTTGGTTTAGGGTAGTACACAAATTGAATCTTGGGATAATTCTCAACTTCAAAACTTGCCATGCATACCACAATGATCGAGTGCTTCACGATTGATGCCAATTCTGCCGGCTTTTTTTGGACTTACCCACAGTGCATTAGTGTTGTGAAATACTGCAAGCCCGTGGTCCAAATCGACGAGACATTATTGTATGAAAAATACATGCAAATTTTACTATTGAAAGTTGTCCAAGATGGTAATCGTAACATTCTTCCAATTTCTTTTACCCTTGTGAAATAAGAAGATATAGATTATTGGGATTTTTTCCTCATAAACTTACACTTATATGTTGTCACGAGGGAAAAATCTGTGTCATTTCAAATCGCGGAGTTGGAATTAAAGCAACAAGGGATTCTTTTGGTCCAATATAGAAACCACCCTATGTCCAACATCGGTACTGTATCCGACATATTGTTGCTAACTATCATGGCAGGCTCAAGAAGAATGATGAGCATCAATTACTTGTGCGCATGGCTATGTCAAAATGCTGTTTTTTATTTCTCAATCATTTTCATTTTTTATGGAAACAAAGTTAGTGAGTTCTACATTTGATGCTTGGGTTACGAACTATTACCTGAAACATTTGAGTCTATACTTCAATAGTTAAGGGGAAAGAATGAGGAATGATACGATTACATCAGCCTCATCAACAGATGGTGGATATCGATATGGACACATGACGACTAGCTTGGCTGAGACTATCAATTCGACCTTAAAGGGGGTATACTATTTACCAGTAACGGTTTTGGTTAAAATGACATATTTTCGTTTAGGAGTTCTTTTTGCCAAACTCAGGGGACAAGCTCAAACTTTGATGCAAAACGATCATGTCTATCACACAAGATTAGTTACAAATCTATAAAAAAGAATTGTTGCATCAAATGGAATGTCTGTAACAAGCTTCTCTAGACCCATGAATTATTTCTTGTCACAAAGATGTCGCGACCTCTTCAAGGGATTTAGCTAACTAGTTCAAAGTTAATCTGCGAAAAAAATAATGCCACTATGGATTTCTTCAAGCTCGGAAGTATCCATGCTCTCATGTCATTGTAGCTTGCTCGTATGCCCATCAAGACTATAACCGTTTTTTGGATCCCATCTACCGACTTTCAGAAGTGTTTAAGGTATATGAATTTGAGCTCCCCCAATAGGTAATGAGAAAGACCCCGATGAAGTTCATAATTTGCTTTCGATTGTACAAGATCTATCCTTATTGAAGGAGCCCGGTCATCCAAATCCACTCGAATTCATTGTGATATGGATATTTG